TTTATTTTCATAATGAGAAGCAAATGGTCAATGATAGTTACTACTCACCAATTACTGGAAAAAGTCAATCAAGCAGATATAAAAGGAAGTACTGCTTGTAACTCAAACCAATCAACTCTAAAAAAGTGCCTTTTATTGTGTATTAGTAATCACTATTTAATCTACATTTCCTGTTTTTGACAAAATATTTCTCAAAAAGGCTATAAAGCTAACTAAAGTCATGTATGCATTAAATATTCTAGAATCTTTAACTTTCTTATTTTTCTTTTAATATCAGACAAAGTAGCTTGCCTCTTTCCTGCTGAAGTTTAGCTTGTCTGTTATTAAGTCTCTAAAAATAATTTACTGCTTTAAAAATAAGGATGAGAATGTGGTTAGCAGTTTAACCTGAGGTACAGATTGAAAGATAAACGACCATAGGATGTAAATCCATAACAGCAAGACATAATATATAAGCAAAGAGGAATGCAGGGATATGGGATATGCCTACTGCCATGTGATCTGGATCTTGCTACTTAAATTATAAAATTTTTCATAAACATGGTTCTAGGAAAATACTATTAACTGCAAATATTATTTCCATAGTTTGGAGGAAATAAAACTGAGATACAAACTAGCAAAATCAGGGCCGGGGATTTAGCTTAGTGGTTCTACTGTCTGCCTCACAAGCTAAGGACCCGAGTTCGATCCCTGGTACCAAAAAAAAAAAACAACTATCAACACAAACTAGCAAAATCATTTAGCATGATTTTAAATAACCTGATTCCTTTTTTAAAAAGTTTTAAAACATTAATAAGTTGTATACCTCCAATATAACTTTTCCCTATCAAATGAATCTGAAACCACATCTGTATTTCAGGGTTAATTCACTAACAGTGCTGTCATTAGAATCACAAATTCCACTTTCATTCGTCTCTGAATATGTACTTTTTTGTTTTTTAGGAGAAAAAAGATTTCTAAATCTCCATTGAACTTTTTTTTTTGGGGGGGGGGTGCCAGGAATCAAACTAAGGGCCTCCCACCTGCTGCTTGCCAAGCAGTGCTGTGCCTCTGAGCTACATCCCGGCCCCCAATGAACTATTGAAGAACTTATTTAATACATAAAAAAACCAGCAGCAGCTCTGTATGAACCATAGAGCAAAAAGTTACTGGATCTCCTTTTTAGGGAAGCAGTATTTAGATTTATTACCAGTGTGGTTCAAAGGTTAAAACTAAGAAAATGCCTGACACTTTGAAGGAGGAGCTAACTCAGCCAGAGGTCACATGACAGCTGCTAATTGAAAAATGTTAAAAAGGGAAGGGAGAAGGGCAGGGTGTCTGCCTGTTCTTTTTTATTACAATACTTGATTTTCACTGAAAAAATAAAATAGAATAAATTGTCAGATTTGTATAACTCTCAAAAGACGGCTGAATCACCCAGGCTGAACACAGCTGACACTCCATCAAGCATTCCTTGTAAAACGGAGAGGATGGGATTTTAAAATTGAACTATATTTCCATAGTGGTATTTTTAATGAAGACAGCCTAATCCCTACTTTTTTTCTGCCATTACATTAGAAAATTAAGAAACCCTTCTTTATAATTTATGTCTTGATTTCTTTGTTTATATTAAAAATGAATTTTTTATTAAACTATTTTGTGTTGCTTTTAAGGGTATTTTCAGAACAGACAAACTTGCAGAAGGTAAGTCAAGTCAGTGTTAACAATATTTCAATTTTAAATCAACTCATTACTAAGGGCAAGTTACATTTCTTTAAAATATTAGAAAAGTCATGCCATGACTTTCTTTACTAAGTACACATTTTCTATGTCTTCACAAATATGTCAGAGTCCTTAAAATGTATTCTTTATGTATGTAATTTCTACATTTAACTCAAAATGATGAACAAGATTTTTCATGATTAATGCTAACATTTTATTGACATGAGATAGGAAAGTAATAACCCATAGCTAGATTTAAAGTTGAATTAATGACAACATTTTGATTGTGTACATTAGCTGCAATTACTTGCACCACTCATTCTGAGCCACTAGATGGTGTAAAAAAATAAATTAAAATGGTAAAATTTCATCCCACCACAATAATATCTACATATAACTCTAAGAAAGATGAAACAAATTCCTGGACACATAACAATGTTACCAATTTATATACTAATTGCACTTAAAAAAAAAAACTACCAGTACATTAACATTGGCTCTATCTTAATCTAAAAACAAGCCCTTTAAAAGCAATGTTTTGCTCTTTTACTAAAAGCCTTGAATTCTTTTTTTGTTTTGTTTTGTTTTGTGAGACAGGGTCTTGCTATGTCATTCAGGCTGGACTTGAATTCACTATGTAGCCCAGGCTGGCCTCAAACTCTCAGTGATCCTCATACCTCAGCCTCCAGAGTGCTGGGATGACAGGCACAGGCATGCGCCACCAAGCCCGGCAAGTTCTTATGTTATAATACTAGGCATTCAAAATTATAGTTATTCACATACTAAAAGAATTTAGAATATTAACTTCCGGACTGTGTTTGCCAAAGTTTTGATAAAAACAGAAGGCCATACCAATATAAGCTTATTAGAGATTCTCCAGAGATTTCTATCTGAATTTGCCCAAAGCAAGATGGAGAAATAAGGATCTTCACAAACATTTACCCAATTCCAAAGCAACCAGAATATCAACAGCTAATGAACTCATATGTGGCTCAAAGGTTCATATCCCATCAGAGATAGATAGCTTAGTGCCCTTCTCTTCACTCTCACCAACCCTTAGCAAGTTGATGCTGCCATGTCCACAACTGGGCAACTATGCATTCAATCATGCTGCCAATGGTGATATGTTCTGGCTCACAAGGTCTTTTTTGTTTCTTTCTTGGGTTTTCTTCCAAAACCTAAAATAAACCCATGCTAAAATAACAATCTCTAATGAAATAATGGTGGTAATGAAACGTCTGATAGTGAAAATACTGTATTTTTGTTCAGCTCTCTCCCAAACAGCTTTAAAAGATTTTGGATGGCAGTAAATGCTTCATGTGAGTTGGACCACCTCTAGCGTTAGTTCTATGATCAGGCTTCACAAATAAGAGGACAATCTCTACAAAACAGGTTTGAAAGAACAGGAACTTCTACTTCCAGCATCCTAGAACTATAATTCATACTGTATGATTATACTTTCAGTTTCATGTGGACAGAAAATTATTTTCTGAAGCAAAAGTAGAAGACAAGCTCTGGGAACTATGCTTATTTATACTCAGGCGGGGCGGGGGGGGGGCAGCGCTGTACCCAGGCTTTCAGCGACCAAGACAACCTGATTCATAAAGAAGGGTTTAGCCTACCTGGGCTTTATAGGCTTTGTATTTGCTAAAGCAGTGGGATGAGTGCATAGCCATTACCCCTACTGTCTGAAATTTCAAGTAGAAACTAATCAATCTTTTAATTTTATACACACTTGCAGCCAAGTTGGTTAAAGAAACTACGAGCCACGTAAACTTAGTTATGATTCCAAAGAAGTTACTTGATAAGAACTGAAACTAATTGTTTGATTTCTATATTCAGTGATTAACTCAGAAAGCTGCTGTCTTAACTCAGGACAGTTAAATGCTCAATAACAAGCTTAATCAAGAGTTTTAATGTGAATGTGGCTATCTATAGCTCCCAAGGACTGAAAGCATCTTTCTGGGAATAACAACCAAAACCACTACGGTAACAAGCAGATGACAAAGAATTAAGTGATAAGGCTTAGCTTTGGGCACCCTAACCAGCAATTACCATAGCTGTCTTTGTTTACTTATTAGTAAATATTTCTTTCTCCAGAAATCTTTAAGTGCTTATGTCTCATTCCTTCTGGATTCCCAGTACCTAAAATGAGTCCCCAGCATATTGTAGGTGTTTTATGGTAGCTTCAAATTAAATGGAAGGAGGGAGGAGAGGGGAGGAAGGGGAAGAAAAACAGAGAGAAGCACTAGTCTTGGGAGTCAAAATACCTATGTCAAATACTGGCTCTGGCTCTTTTTTGAGCTAAGTTCCCTTATGTGTAAACCCAAGAAGAGATCTTCGTTGTTGAGACCCTCTGTTTTGATTTTATACAACAGCCATCTAGTGTTAAAATTCAATATGTCACTTTATTTCCAAATTCCTTTCATAGCTAACAAATGAAATTAGCTCTCTGAAATGTCCAAAATATTTCTCTAATCAAAAAATCACATTAAACTCTTAGATTTATGATTTAGTTCACATTTTTATATATATTTAAATTGTTTCCATATATCCTTTGTTTCTAAAATAGCCTCACAAAGTAGACAGTGGAAGATTTTTAATTCCCATATAACAATAGGAGTAGGAGAAAAAGTATGAAAATTAAGAGAGCTTATCCACATTACCAGAAATATAACCTGACTTTTAGATCTGTGCATTCTCAGCAATCCAGATTCTTAAAAAGCAAGGACAAAGATTTTTATATATATAATGATGAGTTTAAAACAATATACTTTGCCACTATATTTACAAGTATAGTGTGTTAAACTTACCTAAACCTTTCTAAATAGAAAAGTATTGCTTTTAAATTGTCGGAACACTCAATATATTTACATAAAGATGAAAACCTTGTTCTATAAACACAATGTTTCCAGTAGTGAATGGCATACAAAGTCAGAATAAGCACAGAGAAGAATAAAAAGGAAGAGGAAAGAAAAACATAATAAATAACCTAATACCTTACAATGTTAACTTTCACATAAGTATATTGTTTCTGGAGAAGCCAGTGGGTGGATGTGAGCCAAGGGCTGAAGTGCTAGGTAAACATACTGTTAAGTTGAATCCTGTTATCTGATTGTGTTTAAATTTTGATTATATTTCACTTGACAAAATAATTAATTATTGTGAACTCCCAATTGTTAACAAGGACCTACAAGAATTCCAACTGGCATTTTTTCCCTAGTGTTGTAAATCCAAATGAATAAAAATCAAACTGTGTGTTTCCCTTCTCCCGTTGTCATTTTCGGGTACTCTCTTACCTTGCTGAGAATGTAAATCACATCACCACGTTTAAATGACAACTCATCAGAAAGAGCTCCTGTACAGTCCCACAAACCTTGGTAAAAATTAGCATAATCTGTGCTCTTATCTCCTAGGAAAAAGAAATAAAAGCATGAGTTAGAGCTTGAACCAGTATATATTAAAGGACCACTCCAGACCACCAAAATAATCTGTTCGGAGTCAATGAATACTTTATTATATCCAGACAAGAATCCTAGTTCTGTCATTTAATTAAGATAATTTTCAAAAAGATCTAGTTTTTATTGTCTTTTTTCCTTTCTGCCTTTCATTTATAACCTCTAGCTGCAGCATATTCTCATCAAAATAGCACCAAGTTTCCCACTTATTTTCTATAACAAACCTAGCCATTCACAGCACGTTCTGAAAAGAAATCTGTCATAGTGCACAATGAGCAATGCCCATGGAATGGGACAAACAAACTGTGAAATAGTCATCTCACAGAATTTGGGACACTTCATAAAAAGGACAATAATAAAGGGGCTAATGCATAAATAAAAAACCCAAGGGCCAGGGATTTAGCTCAGTGGTTTCGCTGCCTGCTGCACAAGCGCAAGGACCTGAGTTCAATCCCCAGTACCAAAAAAAAAAAACCAAACTAAGGAAAGAATTTTTTTAATCCTAAAACCCAAAACTGGGTAAAGGAAGAGCATAACATGAAAGTAACATAAAGGTTAACTGCAGCTCTTTTGGGGGATAGTTTATATACATGGCTTCTCAAAGTTGTCTCTAAAATATTTTAGCAACTTTGAAATTGCCAATGCTGAAGCCGCATTTTTCACCAGATTTTTGTCAGTCCTAGTTTAGGACGTGAGGCTCTGAATAAACATGCAATATACACTAGAATTATCAGCTCATCCTTTTACCAGCATAAGCACAATGGATGTGATGTGCTCAAACCGCCATACACACCATTAACTGATTGATTATTTAGTGCTCTCCACTCTGTAATACCACAATAAGCTGGGTAATAAATGCTTTGTCACTTATACAATGTGAGTCTCCTGAAATGCAGCACAGAGTAAAATACACTGGATGCTTTTGTTACACTGAAAACTATTTCCTGTTTTTAATTCATGATAATTGAGTTTTGATGAGTTAATGCAAAAAGAATGCAAGAAATATCAATAAGATGTCCATGTATTCACTAGCCAGGCAGAACACATACGTGCTGACAACTTCCATCACTGGAATGTCATCTTCGAATTCTGAAGGGATGATGGTGGAGACACTTGCTGGATTAGAGCTGTCATCTTAGTTTTGTTGTATGGCTTTCAAAGAGCAAATTTCTTCATGATCCCAACACAACTGATCACATCAGCACACCAGTAGGGTGCTCATCTTATTAAATACAATTTCTGACTTACACAAAATGTTAACTTTATTAGAAAAATTTAAAATTCTCTTTAATATCTTCAAAGACATTATTAAAGCCAAAAAAAGAACCTAACGTGGAATCTAAATATTTATAAGATGCTACTTTTCAATTATAATTGTAAAAAAAAAAACAAGGACCAGAAAATACACAACCTAGCAAAATCTATTATTTCTTTTTCTCATTTTCTGAGAATTTAGAGAGGAGGACAGTAGGAAGAGGCAGAAAGGAGGAGAGAAGGAGGGAGGCAGGCGGTGAGACAGACACCTTATTGACTTCTTCACATTAGCATGTGAGTGCTCATCACTGATATCAGCAGGGAGGTACACAAGCCTGGGAACCCAACCAAGAACTAACAATGCTTGTGGCCACCCTTCATTACATTTTTCCCCCAAAGCATACATTAAGTAAATTCTATAAATGGACACTAGAGGGCACTCTGGCTGGCCAGATCCTCCAAGAGTTGTCAATGTCTTTTTTTTTTTTAAGGAAAAAAATCACTTTATAATAAAGTGACTGATTTCCTTTAAAAACCACTTATTTAAACAAATAAAGATTTAGAAGTTGAAACATTCTAGTCAGATTAAATCAACTGCTAAATGGGTCAAATGTTGTGCCCCACGCAGTCTGTCAGTGTCAGTGTAAAAGTCAAGGAATTAGAGCAAAGAGGGGATGACATCATTTCACATGCAAGGCCCTCCCCCACACTAACCAGCCAGGAGGTAAAAGGATCTAAATAGCTGGTTTCCCCAGTCAAGGCTTCTGTTTGTTCCCATATTTCTCAGCATTAGGCTTGGTCCAAAAAAATAGAAGAAACAAAACTTGGGCTAAGAATGAGAGTAGAGGTTTTTGGCTTAGCAGTGGTGTCCCAATGGGCTCCCCAGCTGTCCTGGTTGCTCTCTCTTTTTCAGATTCTCTCATGATAATTTTTCATTTAAAAGATTTTCAAGAGGGGGCAGGGAAAAAAGAAAAAAAAAGTATATGGTGATTTCTAACACATAATCCTTATCACTTTGGGGTCTCTCTTCCCCTCGATGCACTTGGTGAAACACCCATTAACACTAATGGAAGTTACAGGAGCAGACGAGGGGAAGAGAGACCCCCACCGTGTACAAGATGCATCTCTCCCTAGATGTGCATCATGAGCATTTCATTAAACCTCACTGCTGTAAAGAGGCAACGGAGCCAGCAATTTTGCAATCCTGGGAAAAAGATGCATTTTCAACTTGCTTTCTATAATCTTGATGATGATGTTACCCAAAGACCAACCTCATTTCTGTGTCCCATATGTGAGCTCTGTTAAAGAATAATTTGTTTATGTCACACAGCTATATGTACATACGATTTACTATTCTATCTTTTTCAGCATGTGATACTACTTATAAACTAGAAATATCACAACTAGGAAGAAAACCTGGTACTATGTGTTTATTAGTCTCAGACTCCTCAGGAAAGTAATGTTTAAATTCTTGGTATGAAATGTTTAATCATACACACAAAAGAATTATACATAGATATAACCTCAAAAGCACAGGTTCACAAAAGTTAACCCTGCTCACCTATATACTAAAAAATAATCCATGTGAGATACGTATTTGTTATGGGATAGAGCATAATGTAATAAAAATACATTCTAAAGTACAAGTTAATTCTTTTTAGTTTAATTTTTCTATATGATTCACATTGTGATCTCTACTTTCAAGATTACCAAAAGAAAATCACCTTATCGTTTCTTGTCCTGAGAGGCATGAATAATTAAAACAAGAAGACATAAAATAAACAATAAATTAGCCAGCTGTGAAGGATTTAAACAATATACCTGCTCCTGCTTTTAAAACCATACAAAAACAGATTATTGGGTAAATCTAACAAAATTATTACAAAGGTAGAAACTGAACACATAAACATTGGAATTACTTTTGCAAAGAAGGCAAGATTTTTAAAAAATGACAATGAAACATGATAATGGAGAATCACTCCCTGAATGTTGTAGGTTTGAAGACTATTTTTAGAAAGGTAAGCATATTTTACAGTGTTAAATCAAATGAAAAAATAATAAACTGAAGAGAAAAATCAAATGTGATCTTGTGCGTACATGCAGGCATGTATGTGTGTGAATATATATGTTCTAGATATATAAACTTGAACATGTAGGAACTTGAAACACAAGACAGATTTTGTTTTGGCTTACATATTTTACATTAGCATTAGAACAGTCTGTGATTTTTTTAGTAAAATCAGTCAATGTGAAAAACATGTAACATTCTTGAGTAAGGTTAGAAGTTCATGTCATGTGATGCTCAGCAAGATAGTAATACCCTTGTCAACTCACTGCTCTGCACGGCAAACAAGCTTCTAGCCTTTGACAGCCTAGGGATGAGCAAAAGTCACTGCTATGCAAAAGCATTAAAACTGTTGCTTGAAAAGAATTTCATGTCACTAAAGATAAGAATTATTGCCATGCTTTACAGCAATGGCATGAAAATCTAGATCAACTTTTTACATTCCTTTGAGGAAAACTAATTTTTTTCCCTACCCTCAAAGGCAAAAATTTGGGAGATAGTCACTTTTAAAGGTTTTTTTTGTTTAGTTTTTTTCCAGTACCAGAGATCAAATTCAGGACCTTGTACTTGTCAGGAAGGCACAGTGCCACTGAGCTATATCCCCAGCCCTTAAATGTTTTTTTTTCTACAGAAAAAAACAAAGTATTTTTGAAAAGTACAACTGCTTTAAACCAAAATATTTGTATCTGTGGAAAGGATATCTATCTGTATGTCGATCTCTTGCATCTGCATAAACAATTTTTAAAAAGAAAACTACTTGTTTTTGGCAGCAGCATGATACATAACCCAAAACCTATAATGTATACCTAAATTACTATTGAACATGGTCTTCAAGGTTTCACTAAGCCTCTGTATTTTATAGCTGTATTTTACAGGACAGGAGTGCTAACATCTAATGACTCTGTCCTCACTTCCTTTCTGAAAACAGCAAAACCAAAACCTTTCACAGCAACCTGCTCCTGCTTTCCTGTCTAGGTCCGGAATCAGGCCTCTGTTTCCTTTCCACATGTCGCTGTAGGAAGGCCTCTGGAACGCTACTTCCTGAACACACACTTCTTGTCCACCCTGCCTCTGACAGCTTGAAAGAGTGATGTATGGACATATCAGAGAGGGGAAGGTGACCCCAGCTCCAGCTCTTTGCAGGACCCGGGGATGACAGGGCAGACCTTGCCCCAGCTGACATGTGTCTATGAAGAGGTGTAAAATCCTGATAAGGCAGTCCTTCTCCTCTTTCTGCGTAAAATATTTGCTGGTTTATCAAAATTAAACTCATGCTTGCACTTCAGATATGGTTTATCTCTTGCTATTTGGAAATAACAAGCAAGAAAAGTTGTCTGTAGCATGTGATTTTGTATATAGCATGTGCAGTTATTTTTCCAGTATCAGTGACAATTAGTACTTGGGGCCATGTACCAAGTGGAAATGGATAAAAGGGAACATCCTTCCTAGTCTTTAGGCCACCAGTGTCCTTTTCCAATTTTTAAGCTGCTGTCACTGGACTCTGGCATTTCTTACCCAATTCATTTGCTTTCTGTGTTAATCATATGCAATGAAGATATGCATGGCCAACATTTAAACAGGCTGCAGATCAATTAGCGGTCTTAAGTTTATCTGATTTTTATCAAAGAAGACAGAGCTGTGGGTCGATTGTCAGAGGCTGTGTCAAGTTGACCTTTTCAGAGATGTCTACATTGCCTGTCCCCTGGGCAACTTGTTGTCCCCTGTTAGTCTCTGAATGGCAGAAGTCTGTTCTGCTCAAGCACAAAGTATACACAGATGTCTATATTACATTCTTATAGGTTTGACAGCAACTGCATGTTGTATCTATAAACTGTCCTTTAGCAGTGACACTTCCTCAATGATGATAAGCTAATTTATGCAACTAAATCTCCTTTGTGCAGAAATGAAAGCTAATTGAGTCATTACAAAGTAATTCAGGAAGGAATACCTTGTATAAATTGGCTTACTTTATAAATCCTTCTCAAGTGGTTTTTATGCATCCTAAATGGGACTAAGCAGCTTATCAGCTATAAGACATCAAGACCAAACAAGCCAACTTCTGGGAGCTTTGCAAACATCTTTAGAACAGTAAGAATGTGGCTAAAACAAAACCAAAATAAGCTTTGCCAGGAAGCTACATAATTATTACCTGAGGGGTGGTGCACATTGTCCAGACTTGTTTTCCTTTGTTCTTCCATTTTCACAGAAACATTGTCCTCTTCTTCTTCTGTAAACAAATAGTGTCAGTAGCACACTGAAGAGGTTCTTTAGGGATAACAGTGCAGTAAACATCCCATCTTAAGAGCAAATTTGTAAGTTTACAACATATAAATATTATTTTTAAAAGAATGAAGCTATCCAAGATTCATATTCCTTTGTCAATAATATAACACTGAACAAATAAACCACTAGCTATTTCCAAATGGCAACCCTAACAAGGTTTATCTAGTTGGTTGACAAAATGTAGATGTACTAATGCATTACACATATGTTTTAAATATTTACAGAAACTCATCTGGAACAATATTAAATCCAGTAAAGCCCTCAAATCCAGTAAAATAATACCCAGAACTACATTATATTGTTTGGCAGGAATATTACAGATAAAATCATGGTTCCTAAAACATTGATTTAACAAGGAGAAAATGTGCACTGTAAAATACAGTTAACCTATAAGTCATCTATTAAGTATCACTTTCATGTGTATTCTCACTTAATTTTCACAGAAGGATACTAGAAGGATCCTCACCTCTTAAGGTAATTTCTTCCCGAATTATACTAAGGACCTACTAAGTGTTATATACCATGTGAGAAAAGACTTTGTAGATAATTTTAAAATCCTCATTCTGTCGACAAATAAATGAAACTCAAAAGGTGAAGTAATTTCCAAACTATGTTACTGAAACTTAAATTTGTGATTATACAGTTCCTGTTCTTCATCCTAATTATAGTCAGTGCTTTGCCTGTATTCTTTCAACTTTCCCATCACATTCCCTCCTCTGCGTTAATATGAAAAAATATGATAAATTTAAATGAGAAGGGTTTTAAATAGAATCAAACTATTTAATTCTTTTATACTAAAATATATATATTTAAGCAGGGTGTGGTGATGCATGCTTATAATCCCAAAATTCTGAGAGGCTGAGCAGAACAGCACAAGTTTGAGCCCAACCTCAGGCAACTTTGTGACTTAGCAAGAGCCTGGCTCAAAATTAAAAATTAAAAAAAGTTCTCAGGGCCGGGGATTTAGCTCAGTGGTGCTGACGCCTGCCTCACAAGCACAAGGTCCTGAGTTCAATCCCCAGTACCAAACAAACAAAAAAAATGTTCTCAGTGCAAAGGCCCTAGGTTCAATCCCAGTACCACAAAAATTGTTTAATAAAAATTGTTTTTTAACTTCCTTTACATAAGGATTGATATATAACTTAGAAAGTGAATAAAGGGCATGCTAAAGAAAAACTGGATTCAAAAAGAATCATAATTCAAGAAAAATCCAAAACTTCAAAGGATAACATGCAAGATAATTCAAATATAGTCACTTAACTCTTAAACAAATCAATTGCCTTTCATTGAGTATTAACTGCCTGTAAGAGAGAGATTTGCCAAGGAGGCAAAGGCAATAGGGAGCTTCTGCCCTCAGGAGGCTGACAGCTAGGGGGGACAAAAGACAAATTTAAAAGAAAATGGGCTAATGGGGCCTAATCCTGGCAATGAGGCACAAGGCACCAAGAAGTGCAGGGAGGAATCTCCTAACTGGGGATGCCAAGAAGGCCTGTGGGGTGGAAAGAATTTAAATAAGCAAAGATGGGAAGAAGGCTATTTCTAGACAGAGGAAAAGCCATGAATTTGAAAAGAACAAGGCACAGTCACATCCATTGTGAGTAAATAACATGGGACTCACAGGGGAAGGGCAGGATGGGAGAGGATGTCAGTGGTTTGGGCTGGTTGTTGAAGGTCCATGAACACCCTGTTAAGAACTGCAGGTTCATCTGGTGGGCAATAAGAGCCTACAAGGCCTTGGAGCAGAGGATGGGCAGGACTGAAACTCTGCTCCAGGAATAATCATTTGATCCTATTGTCTTGGGCAGTTAGGAGGGACAGGAAAGTCTTGATAAAGGGAAAGGAAGTCCTGGACTGAAGGGGCAGAGGAAACGGGAAGGGGATGGTTGTGGAAGGTAAAGGAACTATAAGAATCGATAAGCTTTGTGCCTGCCTGCCTGTCTGCCTGCCTGAATGGACATGGTGGAGAGGGAAAAGAAAGCAACCAGAGGCTTAAATTTAGTTAAGTGAAAAATGAGTGTATCATTGCTTAAAAAAAAACACAGTTTAAAATGATAGCAAACAATCTCTGCTGTGTGTGTATAGTGTTAGTGGGACTACAAGGAGTTGTGTTTTCCACTGGATAGATTCAGTGTGCTGGTGCACGCCCCCCCCCCAACGCCAGAGGAAATGCCCCAGAGCAACTGTAAAGCTAGGTAGAGAAGTCAGTACTGTGGATGTAGATTTCGAAGTTTCTTGGAAATTCTAAATGGTGATTAATCAAAATTGGCATTCGTATTGACCTTGAGAGTTACTATACTGTAAGACAAATATAACTGTTTTGAGTTTCTGCAATTCAATTCAAACAAAACAAAGTAATAAAAGCTCCAATATAAGGAACAGCTGGAAATATCTGGGGCTCTACATATACGGTGGAACCTACTTTTGGCAATTTAATACAGATTTTTTTCTCTTTAATAACTGTTATTCCACTTATGCCAAACCCCAAGGACTATCATAAATGGATTGTTTATAGGGTGTTTTTATATAAACTTTAAAAATAGGAGGGATATTATAGTTAGTCCAAGTCACTCATTTTACAGATAGACAATTTTTGAAAGGATAAAAGAAAAAGCTTTCCTTATTTTTCATATCTTCTCTTTCCCTAACATTTACTCCCTTTCAATCTGGTCACAAATCCAACAGTAAAGAGTAAATAAAAAAAAGTTAAGGGAATGTGTCCTCAGACAAATGCTGTAACCACATCAATAGATTAAGCACTGTTTTTGAAGAGACTAGCATTTTAGACTTGCCCCCAACACAAATATCATAAAAATTAATTATAATAATTAAATGGAAAAACTCCACTCTTTGTTTTAAGTAAACAAACAATTCAGAAGAATTTATTCCTACAAATTTATTTTTATTTATTAAAATTTAAGTGCCTACAATGCATGTTAGGCATTGTAGTGGTGTCAGAGAACTCTGTCCTTTAGCAATATCTTCTTAAATGATCAGAATAATGATATTAAAAACATTTACCTATCAATATTTACTGAGAAGTATCCAAATTGAAGTCCACGTGAGATGCTATTAATAAGCAGTATTATAGAGCATGAAATGCACATTTAAAATACTTTTTTTCCATTTAAAAACTAGTATTGAAAAAAAAAACACAACTAGTACTGGCCAAGGATTTAGCTCAGTGGTACAGGGCCTACCTCTTAATTACAAGGTCCTGAGTTCAATCCCTAGTACCAAAAAAATCAAAATAAATAAATAATAAAAACTGGTACTGATATTTTTAGGCAAAAAGCTTACATATTTCATATACCAATTTCTCTTAATAATATTCAAACCACTCATTTTATCTTGGGGTAACAATACAAACAGCTTATACATGAAAGATAATGAAATCAAATTTGTCTGTTTTTTAAAACTGTAGGAGAGAAAAAAACTCAAGAATGAACCTTGAGGCCCAAGGATTTAGCTCAGTGGTGCTGCAGCCTGCCTCGAAAGTGCAAGGTCCTGAGTTTGATCCCTGGTACCCGCCCCCCCGCAAAAAAAAAACCAACACAATGAACCTTGATCAGAACCTGGTATAAAGGAGATATGCAATAAATACTGAATGAACAAATGAATTCAAAAATCATAAAAATAAATCCTAACATACTCATTTAACAGAACAAACGTCTTCACAGGACCAAAAAAAAATGTAAGAACAGGTGACCAAAATTCTAGGCAATAATTACCTTCACAATAATATACACACACACATTGTCTTATTTAGGTTTATTATTAAACATTTTATTTTGGTTTTGAAGCATGATGTCACTATATAATACTAATTAATACCTCAAATAGTCAATGTTTGTGGGTTAATATATTCCATTCAACATTTTAATAACAGTAAACAAAAACAGCTCAGCTATGCAGTAAAATCCATCAAACCACACAGATGGCTACAAGGTTTTCATTATGTGGTTTCCATAGCAATCATATTGCAAATCTGGAACCTTCTTGCAAATAAGCAGCTTGTATTTACATGCTTCTCAGCTGCAGCACAAAACTCTTCAACATGTTAAGTTATGAGTCCAATCACACACTGTTAGAAGAATCATCAGGAGATTTTTTTGTGTGTGTGATCAGAAAAGATGAACATAATAGAAAAGCAAACTAAGTGAAAATTCAAACACATTCACTCATTCACCAATCAATGAGTATTAGAAATATTCTAATAGTCTAATAGTCATTGAAAAGCTTTAACATAAAACCTTGTTAAATATATGAAACTTCCAGGGTCAATTAGACCCTACAGGATCCCAAAATATAAATTGCTCCCTATCATTCTCTTTAATAGACATTTGGCTTGTTTCTGAATTGAGCAAAGGAAGGAAGAACAGATAATCACATCTTTCCAAATCTTTTTAGGAAAATCTATTTGAGGAAATGCTTACTGTGGGAAATGTCAAGACTTTTTTTCTTTTAGATTAATCAATTTAATTTGCAAATTGATCTATTTCCATAACAGATGGATTATTGCCCTACTAAGTGTCACAAATCTGACTAGTTACGTGGTTTTTAACAAAATGGCTACTTCAGGCTGACCAATGTTATTTTTAGGATAAATAACCAAATAGAGTGATAAACAAATAATTTGTTTAGCTAACATTGCTTGAGAAAGGATGAAGACACTTTGGTAGCACACAGGCAGTGTGTGTGATGTTCTTATCAGAGCTGAGGACTATTAACTCTTCAGTGGGGAGAGAAAGGCAACATAAGAAAATCTTTGACTCATAGAATGATTACCATTCTCATGAAACACCTTCAGAAGACAGTTTACTGAATTATAATATATTTTAAAAGACGTAAAACACAGGATCAAAAATTATGCTCTGAATGAAGTTTGAGTTTAGATCACTACCTGCATAGGCTTCATTGATTATGAGATTAGATATTTTTATGTGT